GATGATTTTCCGGATACCTTCTTAGAGATGCTCTGGAGCACTAGGGAAAAGCACAACTGAAGCAACCACTTCGCCCCTTCATCTCTTTCACCCCCCAGGTTCGCGGTTCGCCCGACCACCGTGGTGTTACCGGGCCTCCGCTGGCACGGCCAGACTCGCAGCGCTGGCGCGGGTGCCCAGGTCGCAGGGAAGGTCCGCGGCGAGGTCTCGGCAGCTCCAGAGCTGCTGGAGCTCGGCGTGGCCGGACGCCTCAGCGGAGCCGGCGAGGGGCCGGGCGGGCCACCAGAGCAAGGCATCAGATGGCATCAAATTGAAGTACGGACAAGTATGGACTATAGGGTTCAAGCATCACTGCCTTCAGGGTGCCTGCCTGAAACGTACTTTAAAGGAGGAACATCTGTAGGATGGCAGCACCGAAGTTCCTTGTAAACCACTGGTCCTATCAGGTGACCCCGCAGCTACCGCTCCAGTAGCTTGCACCGCAGCTGGTCTCCAGAAAAAGGACAGAATTGGTGCATTGAACTGCGAAGCCCATCTTCAACAGGTGTTTTCCTGAGCAACTGATCCATAGGGCTCCAACTACCTTCGTTTCGAATGTGGGACTGAGGTGGGTGCCAAAAAGTCGGGTCCAGTCATAGCAAACCTGAGGTTACTTGGAGCAGTAGTCAGTGGCCCCTGGAACAGGGAAAGTGCTCGCTGTTGGCGCTGTGGGTGGACCCACCAAACACCAAACACCATGAGGTGCACCTCAGTCGACCAATGCTTAGGCCGATCGCTCCCACTGGCAGTGCCCGCCTTCGCCGTCCCGAAGCGACTAGACGCGACGACGGGAAGGATTTGCCAGGTTTGCCAGGAAGGACCATCCGAACAGCAGCTGTTTGATCTGTTTGTAGATCTTGTAGAATGCAAATTAGAGATTGCTTGTCGACTCGTTTAGTGATTGAGACCTTTGGATTCCAACCCACCACATCTCACTGCTCCATTGGCGGCGGATTTCTGACACCCGCTAGCCGCTAGACAACAACTTCCATGTCCTTAGGGTAACAAACTGCAAAAAAGAGCGAAAGCCTAAGCAGGCATCGTGACGCCTGACGGTCTGCCTGCTGTGACGTCTTCTCTCATTTTCGACCGGTCACCTCCGAGACGGATTCCATTTGGTGAAGGTACCGTATGGACCCTTGAATCCTTACAGCCGACCAAGGCTCTTGGAAGCTTGTTAAGGAGCCCATCCTACAGCTGATTCATGTCATCCTTTCTTTGCCAAACCCTTCGGAAGAGGCAAACTTCCACCAATGAATATACCATCACCCGATTTCGGGGCGAGGAGTCGTAGTGGACTCCCCAAATCCCAGGGCCTCCTATGAATTCGACATTGCTCATGTGGAAAAATGTTCAGCCTCCTTCTTTGAGGTAAACTGCTTCACCGAGCGACCAAGGAGCCGAAACAACGACCCCGAACGGTTCATACGGAGCGTCGTACGAAGCGCTGGTGAGCTCAAAAGCACAGCGGGCCGAAACGACTGCTGGGCCCAGGATCACGACCGTGGGCCTGACCGAAGCTGTGTCAAGAAGGCCGGAGTGTTGCTAGGCTAGTCTTAGAGCACTAAAACCCATTTAGGTATGATTATATATATATAACTCTCTGAACTATAGATACTGCTAGTATATTCTGGTGTTTAGGGGATGGTGTCTTCGCTTCTTTGCTCTTGGATTTGCATCTTGGATGCTGATGGCAGCTGCAGGTTTCGGTCTTAGTTGTTTTGGTGTTGCCCGAAAACGCCAAATCAATCCAAGTCATGTATTAGTCCGAGTCGTATGTGTGAATACCATGTTTCTGTCGCATCGCCTAAGCAACTTTCCAAGGCGCAGTACCAGGAACACAGGAACAGTTGGTACTCACTCTGTTCAGCTAAACAATGAGGGTGAATCTGATCTTCAAAGAACTCTGGGATAGCTACCCAACTACTTCAGCTTGAAGGATGATACCGCATCCCAAACGTTGTAAAGACTCAAACTCCACCACAAAAACTTCATGAAGAGAACTCAGCCAACTTTTAAGACATGGAACATTGGAATCTTTGGAAGACCACACCCTGGACCCATTTTGAAAGGACATCTTGAGAGGGGGTATACCTGGCAAAAAACCGCTCTGGTCTGCATTGCGGTGCGTCCGCCGTGGTGTTCCGACCGGCACCTGCGTCCGCGGATGTCCGCGGCACCGGCGCGTCCCCCACGTCCCGGACCCCCCCCGGCCACGTGGCGCTCGCACGCGCGCGGCATGGAGCGAGTCCCGTCCTAGGCATGGGCCGAATGCTCACTGTGAAGATTTGCTCTGAGCGGAGCGCCGGGAGATCAAGGCCCGAGCCCTGGGAGTGGCTTGGGCGGAGCTCCGTTGGAGCGATTTGATGGCGGACGGTCCGGTTGGGGAGGAGATGGCAGGAGATAGGATAGGTGGGCCAAGAGCTCCGAAGGAGTTCTCCTTCAAAAGAAGGGGGTGAAACACACCTGGCAAAAGACACCAGGAGGATCAGAATGAGGAACTCTATAGACCCTAGGAACGGTGGACAGGGACCCAGATTCAGAAGAGGTTTTTGATGGTTTTTGTATGCTTTTGTGTGATCACAATAAAGGAGTCTGTGAGTGAGAGGATCATACTCTGGTTCAACCCACAGAGGTTCTGCATCCTCGAGATTGATCAGGAAAGTGTGGATGCTCTTCCTACAAAGTCCCCAACGTCTCACGTCCTTTCGCCACGACCTCCGTCCGTCCCCTCGACCTCCGACTCCACGGCTGCAGGTGTCCGCACCTCGCTCCAGCCCGTCCAGCCCCACGTCCGCCACCGGCCTCAAAGGCCGCCTGCACTCGGAACTGGTGCTGCAGCCCTGGGACGAGGCTCATGGCCTCCAGCCGCACCGCCGCAGGGCCTCGGCGAAGGACGCGAAGGACGGGCCACTTGGGGGGGGCCATGCAGAAGTCAGGCCGGTGCAGAGGTCATATTCAATACAGCAGTCAGAAGCAGCTCCAATACACCAAATACATGGAGTTTCGCAGAAGAGAAAAACACGCAAAGAATGGCCAAGGTGCTAGGGTTGCTATCGACCAGACGCGCGGACTCCAGGCTTTGCCAGGAAGCCAACGGAACATGTAGCCTGGAAGGATGTGTCTCAATGTCAAAAGACACCCAAACACTCCATGATATGCCTACATTGCCCCCCCAAACACCACCCCTGGCCTGATGGGCAACTATGGCAGTCCCATATACACGTGTTAAATATACCCGGACCATCCCCAGGAATGTTTTTTATGGATGACTGGTTGGTGGTTTCAATTCACGAACGAAAAATATGAGTCAGTGGGTTCAACCAAGTAAAGGTCGAACATAAACATATCCGAAACCACCTGGATGACCCTATATATATATATATAGCGACGGTCAAAATCTGTTCTGGAGTTGCAGGTCAACATTTGGTGAGTGCATGATACTCGTTTTCTTCACATCCGTCCACATGATCGTTTGTTGGCGCGTGTATTCAATTGTTTGGAACAAATGCATTATATGCATACTCCCATTGACCACTCACGGACACTTCGTCATGTCACGTTCACTCATGAACTGAGCCTATAGCCGCTCACTGGGCCCTCTGGAGGAGAAGGAGACCGTTGGCACTCGCACGAACGTACCACCGTTTTCGGCACCGTGTTCGACTGCCGAGACGTCGGAAACGACTGAAACGACCGGTGAGCCCCAAATGAAAACGAAGGAACATACGACTGGCGCGGTGACTTTGCATGTGTTTACAAACCCAGATTCGTTTTTGCATGGGACTGCCATTTGGGATGGTTTGGGGGGGATCGGCATCATTATACTGTATGATTGCGTATACATGAAAGTTGTTTAATTTTTATTTTTTTTTATGATCATTATGATCACAACTATGACTATGATCACCTAATAGTGCCCACATGTGCCTTGTCCTGTCCATATTTTTTGGGGGGGGCTTGTTTAGAACAAAGGTCTCAGTTGTTTTGAGGCCAAAACGGGTCCTTTGCACCAATAAACCTTGATCAATAGCTCACACTTGAAAATCATCAAGGTCACTAGCTTGCCAAAAGAGTTCGATCCCCAAGTCGCCCCATCTGGCGAGACGAACTCAACATGGCTTTGTGGGGCACTGAACCCCCTCCACCATCCTCCAACGATGGCCTGTAAGCCCATTGGATCTGCACCTGGCCGCCACCACCACAGGAGCTCGCTTGGAAGGTCACCTTCAGCTCCACCTCCTCCTGCCGTCACGGCACTTGAAGGTCTGATCGCTTCTGGTTGAGAGGAGAGCGGAGGAGAGCTGGAATCAGTGAGTGTTTCACAGGCGACGACCAACGTGGTTGTGGGACTCATTCAGCCCAAAAATCGGCAACACATGCTGAAGAGACCTCCTCAGGTCTGAAGTGAAGGGACTCAGACCTGGGGAGATCTTCTTCTTGTCGAAGTCTTTCAGAAGTCAACATCCACCGTAGTCTTTTTTCTTGTCTTTTTATAGCGGTGTAATCGTTCAACCTTGGAGGATGGCTTGTGGCTTGTCTGGTGTTTTTCTAGCACGTTGCAGGTTTCGGGGCTCACATTGCAAAAGTACTTTCCATGATACACTTTCCAAGAAAAGAGTAGCTCTCAATTGGAGGTGCTTTACCCTAAAAAAAGCAAACCTCATCCTCATCCCCAATCTTTCCGATCAGAAGATCCAGCCCTGATGACCTGTGCGGTTGCTCTCGGCCTGTGCGTCGATCTCGACCTCTGGCAGGGTCGCTGGAACCATCTGCGGCGCCAAATTGGTAGAGGAGACCTCGGTGGTGCCATCGGTTCAATGGGACATACCATCGTTGCACTACTTATAGGTAAAAGCCAGTGGGTTCAAGTGGATGCTTTAGAAGATCGAATTCACATGAATTCACAGGGTACCTCTGAGTGTTCCATCCGAAGGACGGTGACATGAAAAACATGAATGAACTTCCCATGGCAGGTCATAGATGGTTTCTATTTACCGATAATATACCCATACAAACGTCAATCCCTAGGGCCCCAACCATATCCTCAGGTTAGGTGGTATTCGACCCCCAAAACCCACCCCAACCATCTTCGAAACAGAGGTGGTTGGAGCCCTAGGGAATATAAGATATATAAGCACCATCACCATACCAGGTCACCCATCGTCGTTCTTCCACCTTCGCCCACCGAGCAGCGTGTACGTAGGCCTGTGCGGTATCGCTGGAGCCCTGCCAATTGGTGAGCCGCACGATGATCTGAAAGGACACATTCACTTCGAGCGAAGAGCCCTCCTGGCGCGACCGGTCGATCAAAGACTGTGCGAGCATCCGCGAGCATCCGCGAGCGCTTGTGGAGTCTCCGGCGGTCTCGGACTGCAGGTGATGATCGGAGCACAGCAAAACGAGTTTGAGCCTTCTTATGAGTTAGGGTGGAGCATGAGCATGGCAAGATGAGGTGTACGAACGCTGGATGGTGATGTTGCAAGCTCTCATCCCTGTTCGGTCTTCTTTCCACCTCCGCCAGTGGATCCAAATCCAGTGCTGACTCCGACGCCAGCGTCGCTCGTCTGAGCCGACTCTCGATGGCCTGGCGGTTCGCCGGTGAGCGGCGGTGAAGCCGGTGAGTTTTGTGGCGGGTTTTGTGGGTCTCCAAAGGGAGGGAAGAAACAAATTGAGCCTTACCCCATATATGGAGGTAACCCATGGGCTACTTCAATTGAAACATGTTTAAACAAAGGTGAGCCTCAAGTGTAGATAGGACAGGAAAGCGTTTCGGCTGTGGCAGCGGCTACGGTTTCTCAGGAATTCATTGAAGCTGCGGGATTGGATGCTTGTGCACGTACTTAGACACCAGGACTCGGCCAAATCCTTTGGTGTCTTTAAGACCTATACCAGGCCCCCCGAAAGGATGTCCATGCATTATAGCCTCCTAACTGCCGTACCCGACGCCCCGACCTCTCGCCTCCCGTGCGGCCGTGTCCAAGCCACTGGCATTGCCCAGCGTCCAGGTCACCAACATCACGCCTGACTCGCCGGCCAGGTCACGCCGGCGTGAACCACTCGGGAAGCCCACCACTCGGCGCCGTTCACGCCGAATGCGCATGAAACACACGCGGAAGACAAGCGGAAACTCCAACTCACCGACCAGCTGAGGTTACACCGACCAGCTGAGGAATTCCAGAACTCCATCCATTTTGGGCGGTGGATTTCTTGAGTTGATGTCCCATCTCTGGTCATTCTGACTCAAGTGAGCAGTTCCAAACCTTGATTCACAGGTTTTGTGTTTCACTGCATGCCACGTCTTGTACCTGTGCAAGGCTCACAATCTTGCCTTTCCTCACCCCCCCCTTTTGAGTGACCCTTGTCCTGCTTTACCAGTACAATTAGACCAGATTAGCACCCCAAGGTGACACTCTCATCAAACACGGTAAGTGCACAAGAATCAGGAGAAGTTCCAAGACCATGCAATTCTAAGCCCGTGAAGCTCATGCCCATTTCAGAGATCACAAAAAGGAATGTCGCTCTTCCCGTTTTAAAACCTTTCCTTTCAAACCTGTTTCCAGCTTTCGGCTTCCAAGCTACGCCCAGCATCCCCACTGGACAAATCGGTACTGAACCGTAGCCGTGCACAGGGCAGTGCTGCCTCCGGCGCTGCCAAGGCCGCCCGCACAAGCACGAGCGGCGCCATCGGGTCCCGGGCCACGGTGGCACGGAGAAATTCGGGTCCGCCGGGCAAGGTGACGGCGATGGGGTCGCCCACCAGCAGGGTGGCACGCGGGCCCAGTTGAACCTGATCAGAAAAGCACAAGAACATGGTGTGGTTGGTTCGGAGTCTAGCGGCCTGGGGGCTAGATGGCTGGTTTTTCGATTTGCCCATGTTTGCTGAGTTCTAAGCGGATAGGGTAGGTCTATCAAAATAGGTTGCCTTAATAGTTTATCATCCAATACGGTGCATAATGATTTGGCAATAAGCTGAGGTCAATTTCAAGCTATCGTCTTCTTGAATCATCCAAGTGCCAGGTTTTCGCCATTGTTCGTTGATCATGCTTGTTGAATTATTAAAGGACTACAAGATATTGCAAGCAACTAGGCACTATGATGTGCACCATGGCCCTTCCCCATCAAAAGATCTGCATACTGTATTGACTGTATTAAACAAAAAGTATTACTAGTAATAGTATATCCAACTGTCCGATACTTTTAGAAGGGGACGGAAGAAGCTCGACTTCTCCAACACCAAGCACGTAGATCCTAGCCTGGCAACCAAGAATTCGACACGCATCCTCACCCGCAACGGGGGCCTCCAATCTGAGGCAGAATCCTTTACTTTGCAGACTTGGTCCAAAAAGGAACATTTCTGGTTTGTGACCCAGTCGCTTGGCAGTAGTTCTGGCATTTGGTCGTTGAGGCTGTCCTGTCTAGCTACTAGTAGCGTCCTTGTTACTAGTAGTAAGAATGCTACTATAGTAGTAATGCCCTTTGTTACTAGTAGCGATGCCCGGAATGATCCTAATACAGCTTCTTGTTACCAATAACCTATATTATATTGTATACCGATATACCCACTGAACTATACCATCTATACTCAATGACTTTCTCGGAACAAAACCCTCGGCAACCCAGCTCCTGCCCCAGCTCCCTCGGCGCCAAGGAGCCAGCAAAAGCTGCGCGGACCAACGGCACTCGGCTAGGAGCCCCAACTTCAACACCTCGGAGTGGCGCCGGCGCCCCGGTCGCGCCCTTTTTTCCCCACGGAGCAGTGAGCCACACGGTTCAGTACGCTTCCCGGTTCGCTCGGTCTGGGCCGCGGTGCCGTGGTGTGGTGTTTCACCATGTGAAACCCCAGAGGCTTCACGGAACGGACCGAGAACACGATGAACGACGCGGACGCACCGGACGGCGACTCGACCTCCGCCTGACCGGACCGGACCTCCGCCTGGCCTTCAAGGGATTCCGCGGAGATCTTCGTTACGGTGCCTGGTCTTCGACCATGCGGATCGGTACGTGCTGAAGACGCGCATCGACCGAGCTGCTAGATCCGAGTCAAAGAGCTCGGCACACTCCACGATGGACTCCGTTTCGAGAGGCAACGGCCAGTCTGATGCCCGAAAGTCAAGCCGCAGCTCCACTGCAGACATCAATGCCACCACTGAAAGGACCTCAATGGATGGGGAGAAATTGGATTCCTTTGGTTGCCCCCCCAAGTAATCCAACAATATCACCAGCAATGGTTGCTGTGTGGCTTTTTTCCCCGTTGATGGAAAACAAAAAAAACTAGTTTAGGGGCCGCATAAGGTTCAGGTGAGGATGTCATCCCCGCAGCTGTTCGGATGTATCCCATTACAGTACCGGTTATCAGTAGCAGGATAATTGTTTACGGACTGCTACTACAGGTAATAGGACAGACCCAAGATATACCTGGATCTTCCAACTATGCAGAATTGCTACCTCTTCATCCATACAAGCAAGCCAAAAGGCAGAAATTCTGCATTGGAAGATCCAGGTATACATATATAAATATATATATATATATGTTATATATAATCCAGTCAAAACCAGGATACATTGCTTGACCTTCTCCCGACGTGTCGCTCCGACCATGACCCATCCCCATGGGGTAACCATGGAGTAACCAGGTCTCCAGGTACAAAGACAGATCCCCATATGAGTTCTCCAGTCCATCTTCGCTGTCGTCGCCTTCGTTTCGGTCTTCGAGGTGGTGGTCGCTGTCAGAGAGGTGACGCTGGAGGTCTGCGGCCGCCGCGAGAGGGGCGCGGACAAGGTTCAGAAAGCAGGGCAACAAGTCCCCACCGCTCTAGGCCCCTCCCGGAGTAGTCCCTCCTGGAGGGTAACAAGAACAACGACGTCTGAGACGAACAAGGCAATCTGTTGTGCTACGATTGGGTTGTTGTATTAGTTTCTGATGCTTCGATGGAAAAAAATGGTAGTTGTCAGAAACGACTGATTTTTGCTTAGCGGTGTGATTTGGGTATGCTCCACAGATTTTGATCCGAGTAGCCATCACCGGCTATCACACATCTATATTTAGGGGATGACTTCCGTATTTATCAACCCATCCATCCATCAGCCATCCCATTGGACGCAGTGGAAGACGCCAGTCATCATCGACCCGGCAAAGACCGACCTTCAAGTCTTTTTTTTGCGGCCTTCTTGATGACGATAACTGGATTAATGCCCAGCTGCCAATTCTTCATTTACCTCTATCATTATATAATGAACGACTTCGAATTCCGGTGGAATTGCAAGATGCGATGCAGGATATGCACAAATAAATCAAAAACCGGCTACAGGGTTGCAATAAGTTCATCCTTGGCCAATGGCAGAGATGATTCGATATATAATAAATACATTGATGTCACCACGACAAAGGAGAAATTGATAAAAACATTTGTCTGTTCATGCCCAGGTTGTGACCTCTGAAGACCTACATGGAGTGGAAAGCACTTAATGTTATTCTGAGGTTTCGGAGACAGAATTTGATGAAAACCCACGACCAGTTTTACCCGCAAAACGCCCACAAAAAACCCTCAAAACGCCATCAAAAACCTGCAAACGCCCACAAATCCCAGAAAGTAGGTCAAATGGGTTTTTGATGGTTTTTGAGAAACCTCTAAATTCGTTGAATTGCAACTCTTTTGGGCTGAATGTCATGAGTAGGATTGCCTGCTCCACCTGGACAATCTTTGGTCATAAGCTGTTCGGGAGAAAATGAGTGCCTAGTCATGTTTTCCTACGAGCATGATGTCGACATGAGTTCATTTGTTAGCAACAATGCAATTATGGTTCCTTTTGCATACTCGTATGTCATTACCGTATCTTGTAGTTTTGCTGCGCTCGAGCCTGCTCGTAATTCTTGGAGCTCTAGGCCAATGTCTGATCGACCAGGGATTAGTGAAAGCCGCTCTTTCTTAGAGGGGTATATCGACTGCTCAAGCGATGGCCAACCCAGCTGCACTTGATTTCGCCACAAGTTTTGTGCAAGCATAAGAGATCATACCTTTGAACTCCCGTGAAACCGACCAATCATCATCGTCATCATCATCAGTCATCCATCAGTCATCCAGAGGCCACGGGGAGGGCAGTGTGTGACCATGCACGACCACTCTTTGTTTGAATCGTATGTGCTCGACCACTTTTCAACTGGTCGTCACAATAACGTAGTACAAACCACATGGACCAAAATATTTTGGGATTTTGAAGGTCTAGGTATGTTATATATAATCCAGTCAAAACCAGGATACATTGCTTGACCTTCTCCCGACGTGTCGCTCCGACCATGACCCATCCCCATGGGGTAACCATGGAGTAACCAGGTCTCCAGGTACAAAGACAGATCCCCATATGAGTTCTCCAGTCCATCTTCGCTGTCGTCGCCTTCGTTTCGGTCTTCGAGGTGGTGGTCGCTGTCAGAGAGGTGACGCTGGAGGTCTGCGGCCGCCGCGAAAGGGGCGCGGACAAGGTTCAGAAAGCAGGGGCAACAATTCCCCACCGCTCTAGGCCCCTCCCGGAGTAGTCCCTCCTGGAGGGTAACAAGAACAACGACGTCTGAGACGAACAAGGCAATCTGTTGTGCACAGGTAGCCATAGTCTAGCCGAGGATCGACTCAAAAGCATTGCAGGTGCGCATCCAGCGTGCATCCACGGGGGGCTCGTGCATTCAGCGGGCTAAGAAAAGAATGGTCAGAACATGTCAAAATCCTACAGAAGCTCCTACAGGTTCTCTCTACCTTGATTTCAGGAGGACCCTTTCCCCAAAGCTGGTGGTGAAAACACAAACAACATTTGAAAATTTAGAACCAATAGGCACGCCCAACTACTTGGAGGTAAGACCTGTTCGTCAGTCACAGCCGCCAAACACCAACCTCAACCTCTCTCCAACCTGCCTCACTTGTGGTGGGTGTGCCCATGCGTGGCACAGGGACGAGGGCAGGGGCTACGCCGTTTCAGGACGGCAAGGAGACGGTGAGCTATCCGGTGCCCCATTCGGAATATGGCTTGAAAACACATAGGACATGTGTGGACATTGGTACATCAGGCCAGTGTCATCCAAGAAATCTCCAATTGCGCACCGAATTTAACAAGTCTTGAAACAGGACCCATCTATGGGTGAAAGACACCCATCGTCTGAACAGGTGGAGTATCTATTAGTGTCTGAACAGCTGCATCACCTATACGTCTCAACGGCATCCTGGAGATGCTCAGGCACCTTGGTAGTTCCAGTGCTGGAGCTGCTGCTGAAGCTGGTGGTACTCCAAGTGCTGCTACTTGTGCTAGTCGATGAGGTGGAAGTGCTGGTGCTGCTGGTGGTGCTGCTGGTGCTGCTGGTGGCGGTGCTGGTGTGGCTCAATGTGCTGGTGCTGGTGGTGCTGGTGGTGGTGCTACTGGTGCTGCTGGTGCTGGTGCTGCTGGTGCTGCTTGTGCTAGTGCTGGTGGTGCTGGTGGTGCTGGTGGTGGTGCTACTGGTGCTGCTGGTGGTGCTGCTTGTGCTGGTGTAGCTCAATGTGCTAGTGCTCCTGGTGCTGCTGGTGCTGCTGGTGCTGGTGCTTGAGCTGCTGGTGCTTGAGCTGCTGGTGCTTGAGGTGCTGGTTGTGGACGAAGTAGTGGTGGTAGTGCCAACAAACACCTGAACCAAGAAACACCGCTGCAACATGTGAGTTGAGAAGAACTAAATCTTTGACTTTTTCAAGGGGCCCTTGCGGTGTGCACTGTAAGACAGATGGAACAATTGATTGTCAGGATCTAAAAGGAATGTGTGGTAGGGTTAGAAAAGAATGCTCATGCGTGAAAAGTTAAAAGCAAATGATTGTGCTAAAAAAAGGAAAGCCCTAGGATTCAATAGAATGGGTTCTGTTTCCACAATTGACCCATGGGTTGCTTTGAGACGTGGTTTAACACAATACCCTTTTCAATGCAGGGTCAAAAAAGGCTTGCCTCCTCCCTCCCTCCTTCCTATTTCTACTGTATATTACTATTACTGTATACATATTTAGTGATCCTGCCACTGATTTGTTCTTGACCCTGATAATTTTATTAATATATATATATATATATACTTGTTTGATACCCATGCCGCGGCCGGCAGTCTTTGGCTCGCTGGAAAAGATTTCACAGGGCATCGCCGCCCCAGTGCATGGACGATGAGAGATGGAAGGACGAACACATGTCCACCTATGAAACCATGGAAGGGCTTCGAGAGGGTAGTGAAGAATAAACCACCATCCATGGAATGTTCATAGAGCACATGACCACTGTTCCACATGATGCACCATGTTCTTTTTCGGTGCCCGAGAGGGTCGAATTGCAGCTCGAGGGCCTGTAGATGATCTTCGGACTCGCAGATTTGGACCGATCCGGGTGTTTCCAAATCTGGCAAAAGACACAGCCGAATTGGCACCAGACAATCACCCCATGGCACACCAGTTGGTGAAACGGACGTGTGAACCCCCGAGAGGAGGGCGTGGAACCGTTCCGCCGGCGCAGTGCCTGGCCTTCATCACATAGGGGTCCATATCACCTCAAGCACGTCCCTGAAAGGTACCCTCCAAGTTACCATTCGTGTAGCCGGTGGCCAAGAGATTCCCAAAGCCATCCAAATGAGTACATAATAAGACATCAAAACCTGCGGCGACTCGTCCGGGGCTGGGTCGGGAGGCCGGAGTCCAGTAAGGAGTAGGTGAGGATGATGCGGGATGTCTATGACCAAGTTCACCCGGGTCACCCAACCAATCAAAAAGTACCAAATTCCACCAAACCCAGCGAGGAAAATGGAACACAAAAACCTCACATGCGGTGTTCTGCGACACCTGCGCTTCCCCATCGCATGGTCCAGTTCAGCTCGCCGCTAGCGGCATCCACTTGCATCAGGGCCAAGTCGTAGTCGCCCTCGGTGGGGTGTCCCTCCCAGACATACGCATCCATGTATCCTGGACGGTCGACGAGATGGCGGTTTTTTCGCGGCGTTCGGTGCTTCTACACCACCGAGTCGGTCGGGACGAGCGAATCGAGTCGTCTGTGGAGTGGAAGGCTTGGTGATCCCCGGACTGGGCTCCGAACGGCCCGTTTCTCCGGCAATCGGTTCGGGGGTCGGTCGAACACCACCGGTCACCGGGTCGGAGATGGGACAGGACAGGAGCCCATCCGGGATAGACAATTGAAAGGGACCACGTCTTCAACCCCTTGAGGAATCCAAAAACCTCACACTCGATAGGATTGGCGGCCAAAAGTCCACGCGACTGGTCGGATTCAGGATGACTCGCGGATGGTTTCGCACATTTGGTTTGAACCTTCGGAATTCGCTCGGGCCCCTGAAACAGGACGGCCCCTGATTCTCCTCCAAACAGTAGCATGCCAGTATTCAGCTGCAGCGTGGCCTGCGAATAGTCTGTGCCGCTCGTCCCAGTCCTTGGATCCAAACCACCCGGGGACTACCCCAGTTTGGATCGACCCCTTCTTTTAGTTGTTGCGTTTGTTTTTTTGGTATATCTGTTCACTGTTTGTTTCTGTTTCTGTTACCTTTTTTCTGTTCCAAAATCCGATCCTTTTCTTTCATCGACTGGCAGATGTACTTCAGCAACAATAACAACAATGTGATCATCCTGGCCCTACCAGCAGCCACCAACCTGCACGAATTCAACACATCATCCAGAACATCTACAGCAGCGTCGGTCAGAAATACGCTCAACGGGCGCATGTCCCACCCCTAAGGCACATCATACAAACGGAGACCCACCTGTCTTTAGAAAGCGAAACGATTTGCGTGGTCCACCTCAACACATGTTTGGCATAGTTGCTGGCAAAAAGAAGGCCATTGGTTGGACATATGACATTTTCTGCGAGCATGAACATGTACAACGTATCCACATGCACGAGAAAAAAAAATATATATATATATTATGTATATATTATATAAAATATAAAAACTCAAGAACCCGCTCTTTTTAACGGCGCTCACAAAAGTTAAAAGGATCATCATTCCAAAATCATCCATGGTGGTACTAGGTTTGGGTCCTTTACTGAGCATTTAATAGAGATTTTCTCTCTATAGAATGGGTTGCTAGGCATAAAATCTCTATAGAATGAGAGGGGTGGGTGTGATATGAAATGGGGTGTTAAGGTTCCAAGGATGTTGCAACATGAAGCTAGAAATCTCTATGAAGTGAGATTTCACATAACCTACCTTGAACATGTGTAAAGACTA